CCCCCCGCCTGGTGCGGCCTTCGGGGGACACATTAGCCGTCGCCGATCTGCAATCCCGCGATAGCGAGAGTCAGGGAGAAAGAGAGACAGACAGACAGACAGAGGGGGCAATGCTACACGCCCGGGGACCGAGGAGGGGGAGGCTGTCTCGGGGGTCTCAGCCCACAACCATCCAGAGGTTGCGACGCCCCCCTGCCCCCTGCGGGCATGCGCGCTGCCGAGCGTGCGCATGAGCAGCGCCCGGCCATCCGCCTCACCCCGGCCGGCTGTGCCCCCCGCCGCCCCCCGCCGCCCCCCGCCGCCCCCTGCCCTGCCCTGCCCTGCCTCGGAGGCAGCAGGCCGGTCGTGCGGGGCCACCCCGGCGCCCTGGGGGCCCGGATGAGGGCGCTCCAGGCCCGCGCCGCCCCCCCCCCCCCCCCCCTGCCGGCCAGAGATGCCCCGCATTCCCGCGCCGCTGTCCCCCGGCCCCCTCGTCCCTTGCCCTCCCGGGCGCACGCCCAGCGCCGAGCGGCCGCCCGGCCGGTGGGCGTATGAGCGATGGAAGGCCCGGCAGGCCGGCCGAGGCGGGGCCTGGCCCACGACCCCCAGGCCGGGCGCGAGGACGCAGGTCGCCCGGCCGGCCCTTGGCGCGATTGCCGGGGGCGAGGCGGAGCCGATCGCCAAGGGCGCGCCATTGTGCCGGGGTTTCACTGGGATTTGGCCTCTCATGTCCCCCTGGCTGGTCGGCCGGGGGAGGGGAGGGGAGGAGCAATGGCGGCAGCATGCCGCCAGGGCCATGTCACTGTGCGCCCGAAGTCCGGGGGACAGGTCGGCCAGCCGGGCTGCCGCCCGGCCGCCGGGCGGCCAGTGGACGTGAGGGGGACAGCCACGAGCCGGCCGGCTTCAGCGCTGACGTAGCCCCCGGGGGGCCGGCCGGCCCCTGACCCCCGTGGAATGAGGTCCCCGCGCGGGCACATGGCCAGCCAGCTTTGGGACCGGCCCCGGGCACCCGGCGGCCGGAGGTGCAGGCCGCGGCGACCGTCGCCGGGCTCGGCCGCCATGCCCCGGCACGAGCGCGTGCGGGTATTCAGGCCGGGCGCACTTGGCCACCCGCAGAGCGCGCCACATGAGCGCGCGCGCGTACGGCGGCCGATGCACCGGTCTGCCGCCCATCTCGACCGGCCACGCCGGCGGCCGGCGAGGGAAGAAACGACAGCCCATGTGCTGCTGATGCAAAGCGCCCCATGTGCCGCGAGCCCGCGATGCGTATCCCGTCCGCCTCGGTGGGGGGGGGGGGGGGGCACCGGCGCGCTGGCCTCGAGCCGCGACAGTGCGCCGCGCAGCCACACTTCCGAAGGGCAGCCGACTCAACCCGGCTCGGTGCCCTTGCTCAAAGCCTCTGCCCCATCTTCGAGGCTTGTGGCGTTGCGTCACGGGCGCGCCACTTGGCCCAAGGGCCGCGCATACACGGCCGCACACATGACTTCCCCTGGGGGCTGCGCCGGGCCGGGCCGGGCCGGGCCGGGCCAGGCGCGCCTCGGCTGCCCACGCCGCCTGCGTGCGTGCGTGCGTGTGCGCCCTCGCGTGCGTCTGGCTGGGGGGCCGAATGGAGCGGCCGGCTCGCCGCCGGGCAGGGGGGGGGGGGGGGCCGAGGTGTGCCCCTCGAAGGGGACAAAGGTCCCAGGGGCGGGCGGCCTGCCCTTGCAAGCGCGCGCTGGGCGTGCAAGTGCGCTCGTACGCCATGTAGGGGCGAACATTGCTCGGTCCGGGGTCCCGCGGCACAGCGCGCCGCGCCGCGGCGCCGAGCATGCTCACGATTGGCGCGCCAGGACTTGGTTGCGTTGCGTGGCCCGGGGCCCCGGCCGCGGGCCGCCAGCGAGGCAGAGAAGCGCACGGCGCGAAACGCCCCGGACACGGGCCGACGGTCGACGAGGCCAGAGTGCGGTCGGTGCGGCCGCCAACCAGCCGGCCATTCACACTTGTCCGCACATGCGGGTCCTGCTGTGCCGGCCCAAGGTCCCTCTGCCTTCCGCCGGGGGAGGGGGAGGGGCGGAGGGGGGGGGGGCGGGGGCAAGCGCCCTCCGGTGCCGAGAGGACCGCGCGGGGCCCGGGGGCGTTTCAGACAGGGTGCGGCGTTCCACACCTGCACATTGGCGCACGCGCCCCTGCATCCGAAGACGTGCCGAGGCCAGGCGCCCGCCCGCCCGCCCGAGCGCGCGCACCAACACAGGCCCGGCCAGTTGCCCCTTTGCCCGGCCTGGGCGCAATCTACCCCCATCCGCGCGCGCGCGCGCACTCGCTCGGTCGGTCGCTCGCCCCAGGCCCCCAATTAAACATCACCCAGAGGCGGTATCCGGCGCCTCGCCCGAGGGGGGCAGATCGGGGCCCGGCCCGGCGAGTGCAATCGCCGCCAGCACCGCCCATTCCCCCATATGAATGTGGCTCCGCGCTGCCCTCGCCCCTCGCCCCTCCCCCCCCTCCTCCCGACCCCCCAGGCCCACCACCGGGACACACACACACACACACACACACACACACACACACCGTCGGGCGCTGGTGGGCACCTGTGGCCCGACCGCCGACGCCCGCACGCGTGCCATCGGCCGAGCTGCCTTTCAAGACATGGGCGGCCCCGGCGCGCCCATCCGCGACACTTACAGGGAGATTGCCCAACAGGGTGCCCTGGGCGGACGAAAAAGGCTCAAATTAAACACTCCCCCCCGCTCGAGGGGAAGGGGTCAAGTGGAAGCGGCCGAAGGGGGGGACCCGGGGGAGTGGATTCGGGTGGCCGGCCCGCGCGTCCGCGAGCCCCTGACCCGGGGCGGGGGGGGGGGGGCGGGACGCCGGGGCGTGGGGTCTCATGGCCTCGGTGAGCCCCTCGCCAGGGAGGGCAGCCCAGACAATGCCCCCGGGCCGTCTCGCTCGCCGACTGGGATAATACACCCACAATCGACCCGCCCTCACGGCCGGTGGCAGATCTGCGCCGATCGGGAAGTTTATTCACCGGCGGGCGGAATAATACAAGGAGGGCCTGCGGCAGGGGCAGGGGTACGCCGCATTCGGGGTGGCACAGGCCCGAGACGAAGCACCGGCCGTCCGGCAGATGCCGAGAGGCAACCCGGCCGCTCGAGACGCTGCCGTTCGCCGGCGAGACGCCGGAAGCCCCCAGGTCGCAGAGGGCCGGCGGCCGGGGGCCGGGGATTGGGGGGGGGGGGGACGGGGCGCCCTGCCCGCGAAGCCTTGAACCCACGATCGAGTGTCGGGTAATAGCATTGTATGGGCATGTGAGACATCACGCGCCACGGAGAACGCCTCACGGGGTCTTGCGCCCTCCCGCGCCGCTGGACAATTGCCAATGCTCGCCCTCTCTTGTCTGGCCCCGGCCAGAAGGGGGCCCGCGCTTCGGCCCCCCCCGTTGCTGTGGCGGCCGCGGCTGCTGGCATCCCTGCCGGGCGGCCCCTGTTCCTTCTCCGCCCCCCCCCCTTGCCTGGTGCTCGCCAGGCCGTTTGTCCTTGCCCTGCGCGGCCCGACTCGCCCGGTCATACGGTCGCATTTCACGTCATCGGGGGAAAACCCAAACAAATGCCCAGCCGCAAATCCCCCCCCGGCAGGGAAGCCCAGGCATTGATGAGTGATGTCCGGGGGAGTCAGGGAGACGTCCTCTTCGTCGGCTGCCTGCCGGGGCGAGTGGAGGGCCCCAGGGCGAGGGCGGCTGTGGGGGGGGGCATAATCACCCTAGGCCGCGGGAAGAGACGCCCCACCATTTGGCGGTTGCCAGAGGGGGGGGGGGGGGGCAGATCCCTGCCGGCAAAGAGGCCCATCCTCGGCAGCTTGAGGGCAGCTGGGCCAGAAGCAGCCGTCAGGGCAGGCACATCGTCGGCAGGTGTGCGGCCGGAGCCGGCTTTGGGGCCCCTGCTCGGGCTCCATGGCGTCAAGCAGCCTCAGGCGGGCCCACCTGTCGATTTGGCGCATCCGCTGCTCACCCCCGGACCAGTGTGTCCGGGCGTCGACCGGGGCAGGGGGGGAGCAGGGTGACTTTGGGGGGCGCGGCTGGCCCAGGTGTCCGCCCTCCCGGAGCACGGTCTGGGGAGGGTGCCCGGCCCGACTTGTGGGACCCATGTCCCACGCTGCCATGCAAGCCCGGAGGCGCCATTGTGGGGAAGAGGGCGCGAGGATTGTGGGGTTTCCGCCCCCTTCTGCATGTGCGACCCGAATGTGGCCGGTCCGGACAAGCACAGGGCAATGGCGGCAACGGTGCAGGCGGCGATCCCCGGGCCGAAGGATCGCCCGCCGGGGGAGGGGGGAGGTGGAGCATTGTGCGTGCACCCTTGGCGTCCCGGCCTCTCGGCCCCCGGCCAGGGCTCTGCCCTTTTTCATGACTGGCGCGAGGCAACAACCACGGCAGCGGCGGCGGCGACGACAACAACAACAACAACAGCAGCAGCAGCAGCAGCAGCAGCAGCAGCCCGGGAGGGGTAAGGCGAGCGGCATGCAAAGGGGCTCTCTCTTTTGGCTTGAAGGTTCATTATTCATACATCAGATCAATCCAATGCCGCATTTTCCCCTTCCAAACTCCTCGGGGAGAATGGCGGCAGAGGGAGAGACACATTTCGAGGGGGGCAGAGGGGGTGGGGGGGGGAGGGGAGGGAGCGGCGAGGAGAGGGCGAGGGGCGGGGCACAGCCGCACAACTGTCGGCCGTACCGCCGCCCGTGCCACTCGTCCCCTCGCATCATCGCTTGCCTGGCACTTGTCATCATGCGCGCATGCGCAGCAGGCGATGGTCGGCACACGCGGGTCTCAACGATCGCACCCGTGCGCGGTGAGCAACTGAGGCCGAGGGGAAGCACATGCGGAGGCCGGGAGACAGACACAGAGGGAGAAGAGGGAGAGAGAGGGAGCGAGAGATGGTGCCAGGGAGGCAAAGGATGTCGGCAGCAGCAGCAGCAGCAAAGGCACGTTTGCCCATGCTCAGACTGCGGAGACATGTGAGTCCTGGCTGGGATCGTGCTTTTGGAGCTGGCCGAGCTCGATGTCGGACTCTTGAGCCACTGAGGGAAGATAGCAGGGGGGGGGGG